AAAAAAAAAGAAACACAGAAAGCCTTGTTATTTCCTCCTGTTCATTTTTGTTTTTTAGCACTTATCTGACGAACACTGTTCTTTCCGATGTATATACAATGCGTAAAGAACCCAACTACCTTATTTCTTAGTCCAAAAGCCTTAGAACATTCATCATAAGAGGACATCTTTTCCCTGCCTTTCGCTGACTTTTAACGTCCAGGGCAGTTGCTGTGAATGATTAACACTATATCTTTAAAACATTCAAAGTGAATATCACTATGAAAAAAAGGAGAATTCTTTTTTATTCTTTTTCCTTAAAATTTGAAATGAGACCTCAACCTGATCAATCTTCTAATAGAAAATTCTGTAATGCATCAAGCCAACAATCCTCCTCCACCAAAACCATTGCAAAAAACTACTGCTAAACATCAATATCTATTCGTACAATTCCAGATAAATGTTTGCATAGAAAATAAATTCCAATGCTTAAGCCCACTTTCTTAGCCATCATTTATCCCTCCCGTAACTGTGACAATAATATTGCTCCAAAAACGAACGCACGTCGACAAATTTTCAACCACATCTTCCAATTTAGTCCTTTTTGCTTCCTTTCTCTCCTCCCCCATTTTCCGCTTGTATCGCACACCATTTTGACGCTTTCCAGATAATAATAACAGCAGCAACAGTATAAGCAGATCATTCAAAAATCCCCATCTTTTTGCTGGTTTCTGAGCTGCTTTGCCAACAGCACCATCACTATCATTTTAGCCCAAATAAACAGTCCAATCACTCAACAAACAATTGGCAATCGTCTACGAAACAAACCCAAATAGACTCGAAGCTGGCAGCATAAAAACAACACAAAAAATGACAAAAATATTTACTTCCACACTTATATATAAGTCTGAATTGATTAAAACAAAGTTGTAGTCGAAAAAAATTGCATTTTTAAAAAACACACAAAGAAAAAAAAAAATGCTGCATCCATTTCACATTTTCTCCTCCCAACATCTAAAGAAGGACTTATCGTCAATCAGTTGTATCAAAAAACATTTGGTGTTAAGCGTTTGGGAATATTCGAGAAAATAAAACCCAAACATCGATAAAAGAGTAAAAAAAAGATGCGGGAGAATAAAACAAAAAGAATAACAACAAAATTTTTAAAACATCAAATTAGTCTTGAAATGTGTGCAACAAATGCACACAAAACTATCTATACATCCAAATTGACTTTATTGATTCATTACAAAAAAAAATGCCAAAAGCTCGTAATTTTTTACGATACAGCGATAGTTGTAAAAGTCAGCGGCAGAAAAAAAGTAACAGCAAAGATCCAACCTCTCCAGCTTCGTCAGTGACTTGAATCATAGCCTTTTATTTAGCCCCATAAAACATTAGTATCCGGCATTTAAACTTTTTTTTACTGATTACTCTATCAACCTTTTTAGACCCGTCTTTACCTTAGTTGATATCAAATCTCAAGCAAATCCCAAGTCAAACTATTCCTTCATCATCTTTATACATCTTATACTTATACTTCGGTGTCATTTTAAGGTGCCTACTTCTACGTATACTCCCATGTAGCCAATACTACTTCAGCACTTCCTCCACTCTTTCCGTTTTTTTTCAGTAAATTTTCTTTTAAAACAAGGAATTTTACCCTATAAACTTTTAAACCACCTTTTTTCTTCCTGTCTCTCAGCATAAAATAACCCAAGAAACTTGTTATCTTAAATGTCATCACCGCAAAACAACAAATTTAAACGGCGATCTCAAAACAAAGTTATCTGACTCCAGCAGCTGCAACAGTCGAAACAACTACAGCACCACAATCAATTTTTAATTTTTGTCTGGAAAACGAAAAATATCACCTAAACACAGAAATCTTCCTTTTCCACATACATTCCAGCTTCCTTCTTCCAGAGATGACCATCATCATTAGCTCCTTGATATTTACTAAATGAATATTTGTGATTCTCTCTAAATACACTTTTTATTACGCATTTGCCAACCTCTTCTGAAACAAGTAACATCTTTCCGACAATCGATAGAAGTTTCGTTACCCTTTCAAAATACTCTTCAATTTGGCGCACTAAATTTGGCTAAATGATTTACCGAACAGACTGTTGATACGCCAGTTCTTAGCACTAATACTGTTAGAAAAATAAACAAATGTCTCAGAGGAAAAAAAGAAACCCAGACATGCACTAGTGCGATGTTCAATTACATGACCACCAAAACACAGGGGCGTTTAGTCACAACAGGCTTAACCAGACGTCTGATCCTGTGTTCTCGCCTTCATTTATATTGTCTTTTCTCTTCTCCCAACTCTCCTCTACCCGCTTCTCCTCTAGCCTCCATCTTCTTACCGTTGCTGACTTCATCAAAGCCTTTACACTGTGAAAAGGAGCAAAATAGATCAACAAATAAAAATTTAATAAGACAGAAAGAAAACGCAGAAGACAACATAATCAAAGATCAACATATTTTAACCACTGACTGTCATTACACCTCTATACCTCGACACTGCTGCTACCAACAGCACTACTGCCACTCCCACCATTAACATCGTCATCTCATCATCGCTACAATCACCAAACACGTGCAGTTACATTCAATTGGTGTTTGTTCAACAGTCTATTTGGAGAATGAAAAAATGAAAGAAGACAGTTAAAGAAGAGCAAGGAAAAGTTGATTTTACAACTGTTCCTGGAGCTCAACAAACTTCATCAGTCTTATTAGTCTCATTAGTTCCATCGTTTCCACCTCTGCAGTCGATCAACATCAGTCAGGAGACCACAACTACTACTTTAATGTTCAATCATTATCGTCGTCTTTTTCTTCTCTTTCCTCTTTGCTTCCAAAAATTCAATCACAACACTTTTTCTTTATCATTTAAATCAGCTTTACCAAACTGATTCTTTTTCAGATGCTAAAAATACAGTACTTCCTTTGACGGTGAAAGCATATGCCGAAAACCTTT